CTTTTTAAGAATAAACTGTCCAATTAAGAAATGACACCTAAATTATTTTCACTTTTAACCCAATAACCAACCTCCTGTGCCTGTAATGTGGACTCTTTTATCCAGTTACACCAAACCACCCAAACCCATGGAGAAGGAGGTGAAGAAGAAGGACCAGCCACTGCCCCAAAACCTCCATCTTGTTTTATAGATATTATTGTATTCTAAACCCTCAAACTCTGAATTTCCCACCCTGTGATGTCACACACTTCTATCCAAACTCCACCCCCACATTCCCAGTGCTGCCATTCCATTCTGGAAGCTTCTCCACAGCCTCAGGTCAGTGCAGAGTTCTCCTGGGGTCAGTGCCTGGCAGCACAGAAAGTCTGGAATCCTCAGCCAGGGTTCCATCACCATCCCACCAAAACCATTCCATGAAATCTTTCTAAGGAAGCTTTTCCTTGCAGTGAAGCCCAATTTGGAGCACAAGTTTATCTCCAATTTAACAAAGATTATGATGAAAACCCCCATTCACCCACACCCCATCCTTGTGCCTCCTCTCCAGTCTTCCCCAGCTTTGGGATTTGGCCTCTCGTAGTCCAGAAAAGCCACGAGTGTTTCATCTCTGTGGGTTGAATTTGAAACTACAGAGCTGCTGATTTATTTTTGAATCCTGGCAGAGTTTGCAAACCCTCGTGGCAGCCTCCCCTCTCTGTGCTTTAATGGGGTCTGATTTATTCTGCTTTTACTGGGCTTGTGCAGGGCAGGCCCAAAGAAATGTTGAATTTGTGTCCCAAATATTGAATAGAGTGTTTAGAGGAGGGAAACTCTTCTGCATGGCCACAGTAATACAGGAATGAGCAGATTTTATGGTTCATGTTCTCCTTTAAAAAAAAAAAAACAAACAAATGTACATTTTGCTCTTCATCAATATTCCAGTTCACTGGAGCAAAGCTTTCCTGCATCACACAGTGCCAGGTAAATAAGATTTATCCAAGACTTTGTTTGTGTGCTCATTTGGCTCCTGCAACATCACATTTAAAGCAGGGAGAGAATTCCAGCAGATCCTGGGCTCACATCCATGGGGTGAATTCACTCAGGACCTCGCAGGATAAATCCCATAAAAATTAAAATATCCCCTGTATTGAAAAAAGAAAAAAATCCCTTGGAGTTAGGAGCATTTGGGAAGCAAAGTTGTAGTAAGGTGTAGTATAACCATAGTAACAGGCACAGCTGAGACTGGAATGATGGATTTTCCTGGAAAAAGGCTGGGAGAGGAAAGCAGGCTGACAGATTGGAGACTGTAAAAAGAGATTTTTGCTGCTAAACACAGGTTTGAAGGGAGTTGATACATTCTAAAAACTCCAGCCCTTTGTAAAACCTGGATGGGCCAGGAGGAAAAGTAGAAAAATGGTGTTACCACTCCACGTGGGATAACCACTGATCAGTAGAAGAGGGAATTTAGACTCTCCTTTTTCCTCTGTTAGCTAAAAAAAAAATAATTTAGTTGGTTCAAGGCTGGTTTTACTCCTATTTTATTGTTTTACTGTTTTATTTTAGTGTTGGTGCTGGAATAGGGCTCCAGGTTGGCTCCTCAGGACATGATGGATCCAACTCTTCCCATTCCCACTCCTGTGGCCTCAGGGCTGGTGTTGGCTATTTTAGAGCCACCAAAGAGCACCAAACAGCCCATTTATCCTAAAATTCCAGGCAAACTGGCTCCCTAGCTCCTGCTTTTCAGGTTTCAGTGATTCCCATCTCTGACTCTGCTCATTTAGTGAGAGTTCTTCCATTTTTGGGAGCAATCTGGGCAAAAAACCCCAGTTTTTATGTCCCTTTCCCATTGCCCTCCAAGGCACTGATAGCACTTGATATTTATTAGCACTTGATATTTATTAGATAGCTGTTTATTAAATACCTGGGTAGGTATTTAAGTTTAAGGAATTTAAGTTTTGTCCCTTGGGAGTGGCCACAAATCCAGAACTCTGGCTGAAGAGCTTTAAAAACTTTCCCTCACTCCTGTCCTGCTTTAATTACAGCTGGGCTCTGCTTGCTGCTTAAAAAATCATCAGGTGTCAGCTAAACTCCAGCTTAAAAATTAGATCAGGCTTCATTAATTCTTCTCCTTCAAGGCAGCCCTCATCTGGTGCCTTCCTCTGCCAAGGCATCTCAAGGAGATATTTTGTGATGGGCAATAATCAAGGAAAAATGGACAATTTTCCCAGTGCCAAGGTCTCTCCCTCCATCTGCTGTGTTTTGGTGAGGACATTTCTGAGCAGATTCCCATCTTTTGTCTGCATTCCCCAAGGAAATGCAGCAAGGGAATGGAGGTTCTCCCTCCCAAGGCATGGAAAAAGCTGTGATTTCTGGTAAAAAATAAAAATTAAAAACAAAAACCAAGGGAGAAGATTGTTCCCCTAATCCAAGTGCTTCTCACAAGCGAGCTAGAAAATAAAATTAAGCACTTTCCATCCCTGGGAAAGTCCCAGCCCAGGTTGGATGTGGGTTGGAATAACCTGGGGTAGTAGAAGGTGTCCTGCCTGTGGCAGGGGTGGCACTGGATGGACTTTAAGGTCTCTTCCAGCCCAAATTGTTCTCTGATTTTATGCAAAACTGAAAGTTTTGGAGGTTTGAGCTGTTGGTTTGAATTTCTGCGCGTCGAGGACTCGTTGAAAATCACCTTTATTGTCCTGAAATTGTGTTTTTAAGGAACCCTTGAAAGGACAGCTGCGTTGTTTTACCTCCAGGGCTCTCTTCCTCCAGGCATTCTTAACCCTCTTCACTGGGGTTCCACGGGGAAATAACCCCAAAGGAATGGCTGGAATATTGAAATCCCAAAGGAATGGCTGGAATACTGAAATCCTAAAGGAATAGCTGGAATATTGAAATCCTAAAGGAATGGCTGGAATACTGAAATCCCAAAGGAATGGCTGGAGTACTGAAATCCCAAAGGAATGGCTGGAATACTGAAATCCCAAAGGAATGGCTGGAATAATGTCTCCAGAATATGGAATATATGGAATTTATATATTCCAAAGATAATATGGAATACATAATATGGAATATATAAATTCCATATATTGCTGGTATATGCAATTTATATATTCCAGTCAGAGCAGGAATTCTGCCTGCCCTGGAGCTGCTTTACATCACCTGAAGCTCCAGCCCAGCTGGGAATAAGGAGCAAATCAAGGGATAATGGCAAATGTTTGCAAACCCCATTAAAGACAAACCCCACAGTGTTAATAACCAGCGGTGCTCTCTGTTTCGTCCTCACCCCCGACCACAGCTGAGGGACAGGAGGGCGTCAGGAGGAATTTCTTTTTTATTTTTAGCAGCCTTCAGCCTCTTTGAAAGCCTTGCTGGAGGAGTAATGAACAATCCCCTCGGAGTGGTGTTGGGATTCAGGTGTGAGGGGCTGGATATTGTTCCCAGGATGAGTTTCCTTGTTAGTGTAAGGGGTTTTTTTGGTTTTTTTTTTTTTTTTAACAGGCTCCATTGAAGTGCCTCGCCATAAAATTAAGCTTTGATCACATCCACTTGCTGTTAACGAATCCAGATGGAGCAGAGGCAAGGGGATTGTGGCTCTGGGCTAATGCTGCCTTTCATTTTGGGGACTTTCAGAAGCTCCAAGGCTGGCCCAGCTAACAATCCAGCTGTCCCAAATGCCTCCTCAGACAGGGTGTCCCCAGGGACACCTGCAGAGGTGGCAGCAGGGCTTTGGGAAAGGTTAAGATGTCTCAGGGAAATGGCCATTACGTATCTGGCAGTGTCTTCTTTCATATGGTAATACCCTTTCTTCTCCCTTTTTTTTATTATTTTTTTTTAAATCATTCAAGTAGCTTTGTGTTCCCTTTACATCCATAGGGTTTATTCTAAAATCCAGACACTGGCAGGAGCTTTGCTGGAATTTTAATGTTGTTGAGGAAAATAAGTGGGAAAAACTCCATAAAAAACACAACACTTTCTGTTTTAACATCCACTCGTAGGTTTTTAGGTTGTTGTTTTTTTCCAAATGCTGAGTTACAAAAAGAAATTGAAATGAGGTGGATCGAGGCCAGGTTTGATTCCTCCTCGTGTGGTTTTGTGTCCAGCCCAGGAGGGTTGACAGGAGGATTCCTGGCAGGACAGATCCTGCTCCTGGGAAGCTGCAGGACATCAGCTGATACCATGGATCTGCTGGAAACCCCACCCTGGAAAAGGAAAAATCCGATTATCCACACAAAAAGGAATCGTTTTTGTCTTCTGTGTTGCTACATGAGCTAGGGAGGATTTTCTTCTTTTTATTCGTGAGGGATCAAAGGTGACTTTAATCTCTCAGCACATTTCTCAGCCCATCGTGGGTATGGCTTTAATTTCAAACCACATCAGGCTCTGCTCAGGTGAGACTCCACCTGCAGGAGGGACCCAGTCCTGGGGACATGGCAGAAGGACCTGGAGCAAATCCAGAGGAATCCATGGAGCAGCTGCAGGGCTGGAGCCAGGCTGGGAGAGCTGGGAATGTTCCCCTGGAGAAGGGAAGGATCCAGGGAGAGCTTCCAGAACATTCCAGGCCCTGAAGGGGCTCCAGGAGAGCTGCAGAGGGACTGGGGACAAGGCCTGCAGGGACAGGACACAGGGAATGGCTCCCACTGCCAGAGGGCAGCCATGGATGGGATCTTGGGAATGAGGAATTCCTGGCTGGGCTGGGATTGCCAGAGCAGCTGGGGCTGCCCCTGGATCCCTGGAATGTCCAAGGAAAGGTTGGACATTGGGGCTGGATCACCCTGGGACAGTGGGAGGTGTCCCTGCCATGGGTGGCATGGATTAGGATGAGCTTTTCTTCTCCAAGTGCAGGTGGGAGGCAAGAACATCCCAGGAGCAGCACAGGCAGTGCCTGAGCCCTCAGGGAACCCCCTATCCCAAGGATTTGGGAGAGTTCCCAAAGAGGATGAGGGACATTTTGAGTCCCGACAGGAAAGGGCTGAGACAAAGCTTTCACCGAGCTGCTGCTCACACCTGGGTCTTTGTCCCCTCCCCAGAGCACGGTGATCGTGGAGAAGACAGTGCAGGACCTGATGGACCTCATGCACGACCTGAGCGCCTACTCGGACCAGTTCCTCAACATGGTGTGTGTGAAGCTGCAGGAGTACAAGGACACCTGCACCCTGGCCTACAGGTACAGCCCAGGGGGGAAAATGCTGCTCCTTGGGCCTGGCTGCTGTCTTGGTTTGAACAGAAGGCAGGAGCCTTCCTTGAAATGGAAAATGCAAATCCCCTCCCTCTGAACTGTTATAATTTTGAAATTAAGGGGCTCTCAGGCAAAGATATGGGAATAGGAATAACAGTTCTTTGCTAGGAAAATTAAAATACAAATGCAATAGTACAAAACAACCCACTGCCAGAGTCAGCAATGCCCTGAGCCCCTGTGGGTCAGGGAGGTGGCAGCAGCCCCACCCCATGGTGGCTCAGCCCTCCTGCAGTGCCAGCTGTGCTTCTGCTGGAGCAGGATCCTGCACAAGGGGGGAGTTTTCCTCTGGAGCTCCAGGGCTGGGGGAGATGGGCCTGGGCTCCTCTGGGAATGCAGTGGGGAAGAAAGCTGCTCCTCTGGGAATGCAGTGGGAAGAAAGCTGCTCCTCTGGGAATGCAGTGGGGAAGAAAGCTGCTCCTCTGGGAATGCAGTGGGAAGAAAGCTGCTCCTCTGGGAATGCAGTGGGCAAAGGCTGCTGTGGGTTCCCAGGTCAGATTGTATCCAGGTAGGAATGCTTGGCTCCTCCCCTGGGCAGAGCATCTCCCCATGGATGATGGAATTTTCTCAGCCATGCAGGGACACTCAGTGGCCATGGGCAGAAGAGATCTCCTGGAGGGAGGATGGGCTGTGGGAGAGATAAAGAAAAAACTGCCCCATGGACAGCAGAGAACTGCCCCATCAGATAGGAATAGAATGCACATCCCCACTTCCAACCTCAGACAGCTCTTCTGCCAGCAGTGCTCAGGAGTGGTCAAGGGTGTTTCCTTCTAGGGATAAAAAAGCTGGAATAATGGTCAGTGGAATTATGGGGAGTTGTGGTTTCCCATTGGATTTATCCACATCACAGCGTGGTTTAGAGTCTTAAGATGTGGATGGCGGTGATGGTAGAGCTTAGAAATTACTCCAGTTCTTCCCTTAGTCAGGCAGGATGAGACCTTCCAGGGCGTGAAGGAGCTCCAGGAGAGCTGCAGAGGGACTGGGGACAAGGCCTGCAGGGACAGGACACAGGGAATGGCTCCCACTGCCAGAGGGCAGCCATGGATGGGATTTTGGGAATGAGGAATTGCTGGCTGGGCTGGGATTGCCAGAGCAGCTGGGGCTGCCCCTGGATCCCTGGAATGTTCAAGGCCAAGTTGGACAGGGCTTGGATCACCCTGGGACAGTGGGAGGTGTCCCTGTCATGGCAGAGGGTAGAAGTGGATGGTCCTTTCCAACCCAAACCGTTCCATAAATCCATGATAAATGATGACCACAAGTTGGCCACTGAGAGTCTAAAGTGTCATCTTTAAAAATAAATGGCTGGATGTGCCTTTTGCTCTCTGATAAAGTAATTCAGATTCTTCATTTGAACATTTGCAAGGAATTCAGCTTTATTTTAATTAATTCTATTGAGATTTGGTTATTCAGGTCTCGTGACAATTTAGGAATTTGAGGAGATGAAATGGCACTAAGTTGCACCAGGTGAGGTTTAGATTAAAAATTAGGAAAAATTTATTCCCTGAAACGTTGGTCAGTCATTGGAAGGAGCTGCCCAGGGCAGGGGTGGAGTCCCTGTCCCTGTGGGGATTTAAAGCCCTGTGGATGTGGCACTCAGGGACATGGGTGGCCTTGGCAGGGCTGGGAATGGCTGGATTCCATCCTAGAGGCCTTTTCCAACCTAAACAATTCAGTGATTTTAGGAATCAATAATCACATGGATCCACACACTGGGTTTGGTGAAAGTTTCCCAAAACAGTTCTGTAAACTGCCAGGGAGTCACCAAATGCTCTGTCCTTGTCCCACTGGCATTTTGAGATGATCCACCCCTAACATTCCCCATCCAAAGCACAGAAGATCAAGGGAGCACAGTCCATAGCCATGGATATGTTTGGGCTTAAACCCTTCAAGTACTTGATTTATCAGAGATTTCCTGGGTAAATATCAAGAAATAACTTCTAAGGACATCCAAGTTATCTATCTGTAAAACAGCCCTCCTGGACAGGAAAACCAAGATCATGCCTCATCCCACGGGGATAAGTAATTCCATTAAAAACCACTACAAGATGCTGCAGGAATGTGGGCTGGAATAGCTGCTCTACATCATCCCCTCCGTGGCTATTGAGCCTGAAAAAGCCCTTGTGCTTCCTGACCAAGAAATTACTTCCCATTGCTTGAGTTTATTCAGGAAAAACTTCATCCGGCGAATGGGCTCATCATCATCATCATTATTATTATTATAATTAACAATAGCAGTGAGCAGAGGCTAAACTTTGCCTGAACAACCCCGTAAATCAAGAACTGATCTCGTGCCATTGTCCAAAATATTCCTTTTTCACCCAAAACTTCCCTGCCTGGAGCCAGACAATGGATTTGATTTGTTTGGCTTGAACTTGACGGTCCTTCCTTCCTTCCTTCCTTCGCCATTCCTGGCTTTGGCACCTGCTGAGGGCTAATTAGGACAACACTAATTTGGCCATCTCCTGATTACAGCCAGAGGAAGAAAAAAAAAAAACAGGAAACGCTCTCATTTTGCTGCTGGCAAAGGCCTGAAATAGAAATCCGTACCCATTCCCGGGAATGCAGGGGAGCGGAGCAGCTCCGGCCCTCCCGCTTCCATCCGCGGGGATGTTATGCCCTCTGCAGGGATCTGGGCTCCACACAGCCCTGCCCTTTGCTCCAGGCTTTTCCCGGGGCTGTTGGGATGGATAAATCCTGGTGTTGGCAAAGTTGGTGGAGTCAGGATTATTTCCAGCTCCTTAAAATCAGGATGAACTCCTTGGAGCTGGGAGTCGATCCCATCCGGCAAAGCCGGCGGAGCGAGGGCTGCTCTTGGGATGGCAAAGAGTGAGAATTTGGGAATGCAGAGAGGTGTTTTTGTAGGGTTTGTTCCTTCAGGGGGAATGTGAGCAAATGTGGGTGAAAAGCATCCAAAGGGAGGCTCCTCCAGGCAGGATTTGATCCGGAGTTTTCTGCGGGAACGGCTCGGGAAGGACGTCAGCACTGGGAAATGCACAGCTGAGATTGTTCATGTCTGAGCTCCTTTTTGGCTTGTGTTTTCCAGGGATTTAAAAAGAAAAAATATCAAACCTAAGGGGGCTGGATGGGATTGGACATTCCTATAAATAGCAGCTCTCGTGTGTTAATTGGTGATGAATTTTGGGAGTTCAGTGTAGGTGAGGTGCCTCCAGCAAATCACTTTTTTGTACAAAATTCCCATCCCAGTTTGCCACCCAAACTGTTTACAAACGTCAGCTCTGATTTCTGACTAATTGATGAGGGGCTGGGGCTGAAAATGCAAATAAAACAGGGAGATGGAGCCCCCAAACCTCCTGCTGTGCTGGCAGCACTTCCCAGTCGTGTCCAACCCCCGTCTCCAGGAGAGCAGCTCAACTCCGGAGTTTAAAACCATTTTATGTTAAAAACCTGAGTATAAAACTGTTTTTGTGGGATTTTTGGAGATACTGAGAGGAAAAACCTGCCCCGTTCACAGCTGCTGCCCTTAACACGAGCCCTTCTTTTTAATCCTCTGCCAACACCTTTCTCCGACAAAATTTGCTGCCTCAAATGCAAAAATTCATCTCTTTCCATGTTCTTCTACATAAATTTGCCAATATTTACTCATGTCCACGTTGAAGTTGCGTGGTTTCATTTTGCTGTCCACTCTAAACTCTGTCTTCTGTGTCCACCCCCCTTCTTCCCCATCTTCATCCTCACCTTGTTCATTTTTTAACCTTTCTGAGGGCTCTGAATCCCTCACCCAAATGAGTCCTTTTAGTCTTAAAAAGAGATGGGCCTAACCAAAATGCGGTTCGGAGAGTTCAAAAGTGATTAAATCCTCTGGAGGTGCTCAGCTCTCTCTTTGGAGGCAGCTTCTGGTGACCAACCTCCTTTGGCTGAACTCTCTCAGCTAAATTTGGGGGGAAAAAATGAGAAATAACTGGGCCTGGATTGCTCAAAATGGTGAAGAAAAAAAACCCCTCCTGCTTTCCAGCCAGGCAAAATAAATCCAAACCCCTTTTTTATTGAGAAAGAGCAGATTAATTCAGCCAAAATGTGGCAGCCAAAGAGGAATTTTTGATACCACTAATTTTGCTGAGTTTTAGTGGTATCTTCCCCTCCTTGCATGAACTTTTGGGGTTTAAGTTTAAGTTTAAGACTCTTTTTGGGGCAAAGGTGTTCCCCTCAGGCTGTGGGTGCCTGGCCCAGCTGCTTTTTAACCCTTGGCAGCACGAGCTCAGCATGGAAACATCACCTTGGCTGTGGGAAGAGGGAAAAAATCATCCAAAAATCCACCTGGCACAAGGCAGAGGAGCCAAATTAGCCCCTGTGGCTTCCAGATGTTTCCTGCTGGAAAGCCACAGCCCCCCCAGCTGTGCCCAGGGATATTCCCATATAATTTCCCATAAGAGAAATGATTCCTCAGAGTGCAGGATTGGTACCTGGGAAGGTGTGACACACACCAGGATTTTGGCCACGGCATCAAGGCTGTCTCTCCCTCACCAGCAGGCTGGGAATGGGAAAGATTTTGGGAAAGACATATCCAAGACAGCTGTTCCAGACTGATATTCCATATTTTAAGATGTCTGCTCCACAATAGAAGGTTTTGTCCATCATTTTTCCTCCCTCTGACCTCTGAGAAGGGTGGAACAGCTCGGTGGGCACCTGGATCCTGCCAAGGTCAGCTCCTTGTGGCAGCAGCAGGAAAAATAACAGAGGAGTTTGGGATTAGGGGAGTGGGGGTGAAAGGAAGAGTTTTGAGCTGTACTAAAAGATGTCACCCCATCCTGGGATAATTCACTCAAGGACACAGATTGGATGGACACTGACTGAAGGTTCAGAGGGGGAGCACTAGCTAAGAAGCTGGGAAGAAAATGTGGGAAAAAGGAGTTGGGAAAAGCTGGGTGTCCATCGGAGATCGGGGATGTCCCACCCTCTTCAGCATCTCCTTGATGAGGGGGTGGTTGGGGTGAAAACAACATCAGTAAAAATCAGGAGGTGTTGGAGCCCTGGGAAAGGGTGGGGATGTAATTCCAAGGGATCCAGGCAGTGCTGGGGCTGTTCCATGGGTTATTTGGAGCTCGCTGGTTTCAGTGGATCCATGGATCTTGTCCAGAGAAGCCTCCCCTGGATCCCTGGAAGTGTCCAAGGCCAGGTTGGATGGGGCTTGGAGCAGCCTGGGACAGTGGGAGGTGTCCCTGCCCATGGCAGGGGTGGATCTGGATGGGATTTAAGGTCCCTTCCTGTGGGAATCCAGGGCTTCCCTCTGACTCCCCTGGGACCCTGGCAGGGGTCAGGAACCCCCCTGGACAGAGCCCCCAGAGACACTGGCTGTGATCTCTGTCCATGGAAAAGAGTTTTCAATCTTACAGGATTAATTACAAGCTCTGAGTGTTTGATATAAGGAATAATTAACTGAGGCACGGGTGCAAAAGTAAAATTTTAGGATTCTAGATTAGGGGTCCAAAGGGGACAAGATGGAGGAAATTGGGTGTGTCTTGTCCTTTTTCTCCTTCTTCATGCCCTCCATGTTTCACTGTGCTGTTGGCATTTTTCTGTTGGTTCAGGCTGGGGACACACTGTCCAACGTAGGTGACAGATATTGGCACGTTATTGTAAATCCAGCACAGGTAGTTTGTGGTATTTAATGTTTGTACCATCCCACTGAGGGCAGAGCCCCACACGCTGCCCTGCAGGACAGAGCTGTGGCTGAGCAGCAAAACATATTATAAATAAGCAAAAATAAACAACCTTAAAAACCAGCACAGACGAATTATGACTTCGTCTTCGGCAGCAGAGCTAAAACCAGAAACTTTCTACAATCTCAGAATCATCAATACCTCAGATTCTGACACCTTCCAACCCAAACCATTCCAGGATTCCATGGACCCCCACCAAAAGGTGAGGAGTTCAGGAATGGTGGATTGGGCTCTTGGAAAACTCAGACCCTGGAAAAGCAAGGGCAGCAGGCTGGGTTTGCAGCTTGTCAGAGCATCCCAACATCCTCCCCTGTCCCCTCCCCAGCACTGACTCCACAAACAATTGGGATTTTGAGGATAATAAGGATCACAAAGCAGAGAGGTGGCTCTGTGTGTGTCCATCAGGACACTCCCAAAGATGCCTCAGAGTCGTGGGTGTCTGAAGGGCCACGATAAGGCTGGAAATAATTGAGGAGAGCAAACAGGGGATGTGGAGAGAACTGAGCTGAGAGGGGAAATAACGGGGAGTAATGGGATGAAATGGAGGAAAATAAAACACGAGCTCGGTATCAGGAGTTTTTTTATCCAAGAGTTGGATTTGTTCAAGTGTGAAATAGACTCCCAAGGGAAGGAGAGTATTACTGCAGTCTATTAAATGTGCAGAGGACAAAGCCCTGGCTGCTGTGTTCCCTGGAACAGTTGTCTTGCCTTGGCACAGCAATGCCCAGATATCATCAAATCCCCTTTTTCCATCCCAGATGTCAGAGCTGCTGGTGGAGCTCTTTCATCCCCTCTCAGTTTTCACCAGGGTGAAATATAAAAAACTTTTTTTTAAATTTTTTTTTTCCTCTGAATGGAAAAACACCAACTCCCTCCCAGCAGCAGAAGGCCAAACAGGAATGTTGACGCCGAGGTCTTGTGTGGCTGGAAACAAAGCTCAGCCTTTTGTGTGTGACAGATTGAACGTGAAACTTGAAGGGAAGGAAAATTTGTTTGTAAGTGCATGTGACAAATTCGTTCTCACAGATCCTGTGTGGTTCCTGAGCTGAGCTTGTTTTCCTGGCGGATGGGGAAAGGGTGGGATGAGGAATGAGCTGTTCTCTTCAGGATGGATCAGAGCTGGCTCCCGTCTCGGTGCCTTTCTTGCTGCTTTACTTTGCAAAACGCATATGCTCGGGGTGTTGTTTTTATTTCTGTTTATTCCTTAAATCAGCACCTGAGTGCTGCCAACACCTCATCTCTGCCCCAGCATTCCAGCCTGGATCAGGGAGAGTGTGGCTGGAATGGACTGAACCAACAGAGTTGGGAATGTTCCCCTGGAGAAGGGAAGGATCCAGGGAGAGCTTCCAGAACATTCCAGGGGCTCCAGGAGAGCTGCAGAGGGACTGGGGACAAGGCCTGCAGGGACAGGACACAGGGAATGGCTCCCACTGCCAGAGGGCAGCCATGGATGGGAGATTGGGAATGAGGAATTCCTGGCTGGGCTGGGATTGCCAGAGCAGCTGGGGCTGCCCCTGGATCCCTGGAATGTCCAAGGAAGGACTGGAGCACCCTGAGATCATGGCAGGTGTCCCTGGAATGAGCTTTGAGGTCCCTTCCCACCCAAACTGGTCCAGGATTCTGGGATTTGGGACACTCAGGATCCATCCTGAGGGATTTTTATGGAAAATGGGGATAGAAAAGAGAGGAGAAGGGAAGGGAGACCTTCATGGCTTCCTGAGATTCCAAGTGAAGCCCCTGGGTCCATGAATTTCTCGGAGAGGAGATGGATCCAATGTCAGGCTGGGAGAGCTGGGAATGTTCCCCTGGAGAAGGGAAGGATCCAGGCAGAGCTTCCAGCACATTCCAGGGCCTGAAGGGGCTCCAGGAGAGCTGCAGAGGGACTGGGGACAAGGCCTGCAGGGACAGGACACAGGGAATGGCTCCCACTGCCAGAGGGCAGCCATGGATGGGAGATTGGGAATGAGGAATTCCTGGCTGGGCTGGGATTGCCAGAGCAGCTGGGGCTGCCCCTGGATCCCTGGAATGTCCCAGGCCAGGCTGGACAGGATCTGGAGCCCCCTGGGATAATGGGCGGTGTCCCTGTCATGGCAGGAGGTGGAAATGAGAATCTTTAAGGTCCTGGATTGGCTCCTCCAAATACAGCATCCCATTTGTCTCCTGAAATTCCCAGTCAGGAATTCAGATCAGTTACCCTGCCAAAAACAGAAAACAGGAAAATTCTTCCCAATTGGAATCCAGTGCAATCCCTGACTCAGTTTCCCACATAGGATTTAGCTGGAATCTCCATCAGGAGATGCTGTGGATGACTTGGACAGAAGATCCTGGACCCGTCATTCCCTTTCCTTGCTTCAGCCCTGGTCCCCAGGCTGGGCCAGCTGTGGGGGGAGGTGGTGGCTTCCAGCCAGATGTTCTGGGCTAGTCCCACCTTGCAGTGACCCCACCACGGGCAGAGGCTGCTGAGATCCGCTGACATCCCAGAGGAAAAGAATCCATGGAGACACCAGTGCAGGGTGACCTCCTCCAGCTGGGTGCCAAACTGAATTCTCAGGGTTGGAGGATTTAGGAAAATGGCCCTTTTCCCCTTAAAAGTTGTCTCAAAATCCATCAGGAGTTGTGTGTTTAAGGGAATTTCTTCCCCTGTTCACCCACCTTGCTGTCCTCTCCATGTGTGGGATTCCTCTCTGGATCCTTTCCTCACTGCTTAATCCCCATTTGTGTGATAGAAATAAGACAGAATGAAATGAAATGAAATGAAATGAAATGAAATGAAATTAAATTAAATTAAATTAAATGAAAAGTGGCCCTTAAAAGCAGGATTTGCTCCTCTCTGAGGTGTTGTTGCTGCTTTCCTGCAGGACCATCGTGCAGTCGGATGAGAAGCTGGTGATCAGCGCGTCCTGGGCCAAGGACGACGACATCAGCAGGCTCCTGAAATCCCTGCCCAACTGGAGCAACATGGCTCAGCCCAAGCAGCTGAGGCCCAAGAGAGAGGAGGAGGAGGATTTCGTAAGGTAAAATATCGTGGGAAGGTGTGAAAGGGTTTCAAGGAGAGCAGCAGCAAAAAGAAGGAACAAATTTATGGTGGTTCCGTAGATGTCGTGTCCACAGGTGTGAGGAGAGTCATGGAATCATTTGGGAATTGGGAAAGACTTTGGAGATCATCAAGTCCAACCGTTCCCAGCCCTGCCAAGGCCACCACTGACCGTGTCCCCAGGTGCCACATCCACAGGGCTTTAAATCCCTCCAGGGCTGGGGACTCCACCCCTGCCCTGGGCAGCCTTTTGGGGGAAGAAATCTTCCCAATTTCCAACCTCAGCCTCTCCTGGTGCAATTTCTGCTCGCTCTGTTGTTCAGATGAAGCCATTTGGAGAGTTGTCTTTGTGATCCAAGTGAGGGAAGTGCCTGGGACTGGGAAAGGAAAGGATTGTTTGGAATCCAGGCAAATCCAACCCTGCTGGTTGGTGCTGCTCTGATCACTCATGGGATGAAGGGAGCAGCATTTTCTGTCCTAAAGGAGGGACCAGCTGCTTGTGCTGAGCAGGAATTCCCAAAATCAGTGCTGTCAAAGAACTCTTTCATTTGAGCCATTACTATGGTGGAGTTTCCCCTCCATCCCAACTCCAGGAACTAACTCAGGTGAGCAAATGAAAAATTCCAATATTTCCAGCAGGAATTCTTTTGGAGACAACTCTCAGTGCCCAAACCATGTTGTTCCTGCCTTTCATGCCAGTGAGAGCCTGGAAGGAGGCAGATTCCCTTCCCCTGCTTGCTGGGAATGGCTCAGCTCGTGTGAGGTTCCAAAGCCTGCACATCCCCATCCCTGTTCATCACTCCCTTGATTGGCACTTGGCTGTAAAACCGGAGGAGGAGGAGGAGAAGCTGTTGAAAATAACAAGTCTAATTTGCCCAGATTGTCATTTTCCTCCTTCCCTGCCTGCAAGCCCGGTGACAGGGAGGCTGCAGCCTGGAGAGGATGGGATTTGTGGGGTCCCAGAAGGGATTTAAAACATCCCCAGTGGAGCAGGGGGAGGCTGCAGAGCCCTTGAGGTCTCTGTGCAGTCCCTGAGTTGAATTCCATGGATTCAGTCCTCACCTGGGAAGCCTCTCCTGGCTCTCCCTGTGATTCCTGATCCATCAGTGTGGGATAGCAAAGCTCCAATGGGCTCTGCTGGTCGAGTAGAAATTCCTGGCCAGGCAAAAATGATGGCCAAGCTCAGCCTGATGCTGAAAGAACCAACATTTTCATCTTAATATGCATTTTATTCCACTCATTCCATTCTCCTGGCCATTAATTGAAGTATTTTGTGACAGTGGATCAGAGGAGCTCCAATGGCAAGCCTTTAGGAAAAGCCTATTAACTCATCCACGCTGAATTTCCTGGGAAAAGCTCCTGTGCTGTGGCTTTTTTCAGCCCAGGCTTTAGGACAAAGATCTTTTCTCAGTATCTGTTTGCACTGAGCATCATCTGCCAAGCCCCAGTTCCTCCCAGTGCCCTGTGAACGCTCCTGTAGCATTAATTTAAATCATAATAATTGGTCTGGGCCAGATTTAGCCATTGATGGCTTCGAAACTTCCTCCAGGATGAGTGGTGGTTGAATAGATCCCTCCTGAAAGCTTCAAAATAAAATTAATTGCTCGTCCAATTTTTTGTCATCCTCTCCCCATTTAAGCAGCCTTTTGCCAGCCTTTTCTCCTAATACAAAGGAACATGATTTGATTTCTTCACTGCTGCTGCTGCTTTTTTCTCTTGGCACTGCTGATGAATTGGGAATAATTCTGCCTGGACACTGCAGTGGAGCCAAAGGGAAGCAGGTCCTGTGGAATCCTTGGTTAGCAGAGGATGGGAGAGCTCATTTCATTATCATTTAACCCCTCAGTTATTTAAATTTTCAGTATTTGCTGTTCATGGACTTAATTTGTGGCTAGCTGGGCAGGACTACCACATCCCTTCCCGGAAAAGAAGGTTCAAGCCTGATAAAATTTGGGAAAATGTTCATTTTTTTGGATGTGGAACTACTCAGCAGCATCCCTTTGTGAATATTGATAAATTAAACAAATCCAAAATTCACCAGCAGTTTTTGTCCCGTGGCAGCAAAAGAGATCCATGCCCAGCTTTGCTTCCCTCCCCAACTTTCCTGTTATGCATTTGTTTAACTAAAAAGAATCCAAACAAAAAGAAAATATTTTTTAAAAATAATCCTCTGCCTGTGGACAGAGATTGATTTTGTTGTCTTAACCCCTCACTCCCTCAGAGCTTGGTGAGTGTAGTGGTTTTAGTTTGCTAATTTAAGATTTCTTCGGTTTTAAAATTTTCTAATTAATGTGCTGATGAGTGGGGTGGGCTTTAGTGTTGGTTAATTATTAGTGAGACAGGATTAGGAGATAGGTAAAGTTTGGAACATTTAAAAGGGTATAAAAAAAATTTTATTAAAAGTAACTGAAAGGAAAAAAAGTAGTAAGAATGAAAACAAACTAGATTTCTTCCCATTCCAAACCACAACAGCGAGAGGAGGAAGGGAGGCAAAGCCCTGCCTCTGCTGCTGGAATTACAAATATTGTTTAAAAAATTTAAAAATCAGTTCTAAAAAACATTAGTAATAATACCAATATCATTAACTTTCATATCTTTATAACATTTAACAACACAAAAATTTTTAAACAAAATTACTAATATTGTTAAAAATATTGTTTAAAATATTTTTAACAATATTACTAATACTGTTAAAAAAATTTAAATCAGTTTTAAAAAATATTAGCAATAATACCAATATTATTAACTTTCATATCTTTATACAATTTAACAACACAAATGATTTTTAACAAGATGAATAATATTATTTAAAATATTGTATAAAATATTTTTAACAATATTACTAATATTGTTTAAAAAATTTCAAAATCAGTCTTAAAAAACATTAGTAATAATACCAATATCATTAACTTTCATATCTTTATAACATTAAACAACACAAAAAATTTTCAACAAAATTACTAATATTGTTTAAAATATTTTTTAAATATTTTAACAATATTACTAATACTGTTAAAAAAATTTAAATCTGTTTTTAAAAATATTAGTAATAATACCAATATGATTAACTTTCATATCTTTATACCATTTAACAACACAAAATATTTTTAACAAAATTACTAATATTGTTTAAAATATTTTTAACAATATTTTAACAATATTACTAATATTGTTTAAAAAATTTCAAAATTAGTTTTTAAAAATAATAGTAATAATACCATATATCATTAACTTTCATATCTTTATACAATTTAACAACACAAAATATTTTTAAAAAATTAATAATATTGTTTAAAATATTTTTAACAATATTACTAATATTGTATAAAAATTTAAAGATCAGTTTAAAAAATATTAGTAATAATAGCAATATAATTAATTTTCATATCTTTATACCATTTAACAACACAAAAATAACCAATATTTTATTTCTTATATGCAAACACACTCTTCACTTCCAATATTCATAACAGAAATGAATATACAGAATATTCATAATATTATTCTGAGTATACAGAATATTCCTAACATAAAATCCTGATTTTTCTGTCCCTGATTCCACATTGCTCAGGAGGATTTTCTTTCCATTTCAGGGCTGCTTTTGGCAAAGAATCCGAGGTTCTGATTGGGAATTTGGGAGACAAGCTGATCCCTCAGCAGGAGATCCTGCGGGACGTCAGCGACCTCAAAGCCTTGGCCAACCTGCAGGAGAGCCTGGAGTGGCTGGCAGGACGCACCAGGGCGGCTTTCGGCAGCCTCTCGGCATCCCAGGGTGAGCAAATCCACAGGGAAACCCAGCCTGGGCATTGGGGAAGGGTGGGGATGGCATTCCAAAGGATCCAGGCAGTGCCATGGTGTGGGAATCCAGAGCTTCCCTCTGGCTGCCCTGGGACCCTGGCAGGGGTCAGGAACCCCCCTGGACAGAGCCCCCAGAGACACTGGCTGTGATCTCTGTCCATGGAAAAGAGTTTTCAATCTTACAGGATGAATTACCAGCTCTGAGTGTTTGATATCAGTAATAATTAAGTGTGGCACGGGTGCAAAAGTAAAATTTTAGGATTCTAGATTAGGGGTTCAAAGGGGACATGATGGAGGAAATTGGGTGTGTTTTGTCCTTTTTCTCCTTCTTCATGCCCTCCATGTTTCACTGTGGTGTTGGCATTTTTCTGTTGGTTCAGGCTGGGGACACACTGTCCAACGTAGGTGACAGATATTGGCACGTTATTGTAAATCCAGCACAGGTAGTTTGTGGTATTTAATGTTTGTACCATCCCACTGAGGGCAGAGCCCCACACGCTGCCCTGCAGGACAGAGCTGCGGCAGGGCAGCAGAACATGTTAGAGATAAACAGAATAAACAACCTTGAAACCAGCACAGACAAATTATGGCTTCTTCTTTGGCAATGGGGCTGACAGACAGAGACTTTCTACAATCTCAGGATCATCAATACCTCAGATTCCAACACTGGGGCTGTTCCATGGGTTACTTTGGAGCTCGCTGGTTTCAGTGGATCCATGGATCTTGTGCAGAGAAGCCTCCCCTGGATCCCTGGAAGTGTCCAAGGCTGGGTTGGATGGTGCTTGGAGCAGCCTGGGACAGTGGGAGGTGTCCCTGCCCATGGCAGGGGTGGCACTGGGTGAGCTTTAAGGTCCCTTCCCACCCAAACTATGCCAGGATTCCATGGACCCCACCAAAAGGTGAGGAGTTCAGGAATGGTGGATTAGGCTCTTGGAAAACTCTGACCCTGGAAAAGCAAGGGCAGCAGGCTGGGTTTGCAGCTTGTCAGAGCATCCCAACATCCTCCCCGTCTCCTCCCCAGCACTGACTCCACAAACAGAAATGGGGGGTTGTGGCAGGAATGAGCAGCTTTTGTTCCCTCTCCCCAAGGAGGTTTGTGTCAGAGGAAGGCAGAAAGCCAAGCAGCTTCGTCTTTTTTCTTCATGAGGGCACCATGGGAGGAGCATCACTGCTGGGTTTGGACAGGCAGGTGTCTGCTGAGGAAGGCAGGAGCCTCCCCAGAAATGGAAAATGTAAACCCTCTCCCTCTGAATTATTATAATTTTGAAATTAAGAGGCTCTCAGGCAAAGATATTGGAGCAGGAATAACAGATCTTTGCTAGGAAAATTAAAAATACAAATGCAATAGTACAAAAAAGAAAACAACCCACTGCCAGAGTCAGCAATGCCCTGAGCCCCTGTGGGTCAGGGAGGTGGCAGCAGTCCCATCCCAGGGTGGCTCAGCCCTCCTGCAGTGCCAGCTGTGCTTCTGCTGGAGCAGGATCCTGCACAAGGGGGGAGTTTTCCAAACAGCAGGTTGGCAAGTTTATCTTCTTTTTGCTCGGGTTGGGATTAAATGTATGAGATGATATTTCTTGTTTGGACTCAGATGTTTATCAATTTTTATCTATGTTACAGTCTCACAAATTGTGAGTTCTACAGCACTTCAACAAACTAAAAATGGAGCCCCATTTCTCTCTCTACAAGGCCTTTTAAGGCTAAACAGTCCAATTAAGAAATGACACCTCAATTATTTTTACTTTTAACCCAATAACAACCACTCATGCCCTGCAATGTGAACTTTTTCATCCAATTACACAAAACTACCTAAACCCATGGAGAAGGAGGTGAAAAAGAAGGACCAGCCACTGCCCCAAAACCTCCATCTTGTTTTATATATATATTACTGTATTCTAAACCCTTAAACTCTGAGTTTCCCACCCTGTGGTATCACACACTTCTATCCAAACTCCACCCCCACATTCCCAGTGCTGCCATTCCATTTTGGAAGCTTCTCCACGGCCTCAGGTCAGTGCAGTGTTCTCCTGGCAGCACAGAAATCTAAAATTCCCAGCAGCCAAGGTTCCAACAGCCTTTGTCTTGGTTTGAGCTCTTCCTCCTGCCCAGCATCCCTGGAATTAAATCTTGTGTGTTGCACAAATCCTGAACGAGCCCTGCTGTCACAGGATGTGCAAGGGGACAGCTGAGGAGCTGGAAAAGGAAAAGCATAGAATAAAAAATCCACACAGCTCGAGGAGATCCCAGGGCTCAGGGGAATGTGCTGAGGATACAGGGAATTTCTGCAGTTTGGTTTGGAAATTTTCAGCAGAATCCTGAGGGAAGGGGTCCAGGACTGGGGGCAGCTAGCTGAGCTCTCCTGGGAGGTGGGAGTTGAAAATCAGCTCAGATTTTTTTTTTTTTTTTTCTGGGTAATCATGAGGGAAATTTGCTGGTGCTGAACCAAGTCACAGTGTTTTATGTCTGTTAAATCATTCTTGTCAGCAGAGCCTCTCTGGGTGACTGAAATCCTTCCTGTGGTTCTGTCTCTGCTCCAGAGCAGGGCTTTAAACTCCTCACTCAGCTTTCCATGGATCAGATCCTTTGGATCCAGAAGGAAAATTAAGGTTACAGAACCAGTTAACATTTAAAATCCAAATTACTCCAGGTAGTTTTAATATTCCTGTAACTCAGACTTTGACTCCTCAATACCTGGGTGACAACACTTGCTCTGTTCTAGCGTTTTTTGTTATTAAACAAATAACAAAATTAAACAAAACACGGTGGAAAACGCTATCAAAGTTCAGTAGACAAATATTTATTTTATTTGTCCATTTATTTACTAGGAGAGATCTTGGGGCGGAGGATTTGTGTTCTAACAGTCAGAGCTGTTAAAAGAAAACATCATTTATAATTTGAGGTCTGGTTGAAACTCAGGTTTTTTAATAAATCAATATTTTCCAGATATTAAAGGGCATGAGCATGACTTTCAGTCCTCGGAGAGGACGTTCCAAGCAGTGGTGAATAAACATAAAAGCACAAAGTGTAATATTTCACTTGGCAGCATCCTCCTGACAATAAAAATTCATCTTCCTTTGTAATAACTTCATCCTAAAACGTCTGTACACAAATCCAGGAGTGTCTGGAACAAGGGGAAGAAGGGGCAGTGGTAGGAAATGACAGAGGCTGGCCTGACCTCCTGCTTATAAATGAAATTTTCATCCTTTGATTGTTCCTCTTTTTTGCCCCAACAACTTGAGATTCAGTCCTGGTCCCACTCAGGGCATCACCCAAGTGTTCAGTGAGTGATCAGGACCTGAATTTTTGGTACAATGCCAGAAATTCCCTAATCCAAACAAGCCCACGTGCAGGTGGTAGCCCTGAGGGAAGGCAGCAGGTTTTCCAGCAAAGCTTCCTTGGATGCAAACAAATAATAAATATATTTAGTAATATTTTTTAATATTTTAATATATTTTATATTTGTAATATTTTTATTTTATAATAACTATGTTTTATAAAATTATAAATAATAAATTCCCTCAGGCACAGTTCTGAACACCCAGAAAGCACAAGGTAGAGCTGGGCAGGTCTGATTTTGGGAAACCCTAAAAAGAGGTGTGACCTGCTGGTGGCTTTGGGGTGAGGCTGTCAAAGGCCCCTTCCCAGAGATAAAAATTCAATAATCTTTGGCTGTGGATGTGCCACAATTATCCCTCATTTAAAGCCAGCCTTGCTAATGGAGAGTTTTATCAGGCTGGGCAGTCTCTGCACTGTTCATTATTTGGTGTTTGCTGAGCTGATGGCTCTTCCATGGCTCTGCCCTTATCTGCTCCCCTTCAGAATTGGATTTTTTATTTCCCAAACCAGTCAAATATGACAAAGTAATTTCCTTCTGCTCTTGTCTTTTGAGGGAATACAAACTCCTTTTTAACAATAACCGTTTAAGGATTAAAATTGCTGGGAGAAGGTGAATTTGCTGAGGAAATCAAGTCACTTTTAAAGGGGTTTTATAGGGAAATGGAAGTTGGGTTTCCCCTCCTCATCCTCTGTGCTGCAGACAGAACACAACCTGAACCTTTTCCTTTGTGGAGTTTCAGCCTCCTGAGGTTCCCTGAATATTTTAGAGAAGGAATTTGTTATGAGCCATAAAGGAGTTGGGACAACCTTTTTAAGGTTTTTTAACATTTTTAAGGACATTGTGTGTAGGGGGGAGGATGAAAGACGAGCTGTTGGCTTCTGGAGTTGGAGCTGCCCTTTAAATTCAGCTGCTCGTGGTACGTCGTGACTTGAGGCTGTTGTGATCACCAGGGAATGGCTGACAGGCTTCAGCTCGGAGCTGGGAATTGCTTTGGCATGGAATCATGGAATGGTTGGGTGGGAAGGGACCTTAAATCCCACCCAGTGCCACCCCTGCCATGGCAGGGACACCTCCCACTGTCCCAGGCTGCTCCAGCCTTTCCTTGGACATTCCAGGGATCCAGGGGCAGCCCCAGCTGCTCTGGCAATCCCAGCCCAGCCGGGAATTCCTCATTCCCAAGATCCCATCCATGGCTGCCCTCTGGCAGTGGGAGCCATTCCCTGTGTCCTGTCCCTGCAGGCCTTGTCCCCAGTCCCTCTGCAGCTCTCCTGGAGCCCCTTCAGGCCCTGGAATGTGCTGGAAGCTCTCCCTGGATCCTTCTCCTCTCCAGGAGAACATTCCCAGCTCTCCCAGCCTGACATTGGATCCATCTCCTCTCCGAGAAATTCATGGACCCAGGGGCTTCACTTGGAATCTCAGGAAGCCATGAAGGGTCTCCCTTCCCTTTTCCTCTCTTTTCTGTCCCCATTTTCCATAAAAATCCCTCGGGATGGATCCTGTCCCAAATCCCAGAATCCTGGACCAGTTTGGGTGGGAAGGGACCTCAAAGCTCATTCCAGGAACACCTGCCATGATCTCAGGGTGCTCCAGTCCTTCCTTGGACATTCCAGGGATCCAGGGGCAGCCCCAGCTGCTCTGGC